AAAAAAAAAATTCCGAATAAGAATTGCTTCACAGCAAGTAATAAGGGTAGTGTAGAGTTTGCGATGGTTGAAAAATGTGGGGGTGGGGGAATTGCACCAGAGGGGTGACCATTCAACCTCAAAGGGTGCTGAACACTAAGGTGAGCAATCTCACCCTAGTTTCATTGTGATCATACTCACCCCTAGGGTAACTGTCCAGTGACGAAGCATGCACACCCTTGACGGTTCAAAATCTCACCTTTATTATTATAATTTGTGCAGATTTAAGCTGAAAAGCTTACTTCCCGTATTCCTTGGGAATTTCTTTCAACTGTAATATCACAAGCAGAGAGGCTGGTCAGCCCATACTTCATACGGAGAGACTAATCTTTCTGTTTGCAATGTTACTGTGGATGGAAAGAAATTTTTAAGGAAGCTATGGAAGGATGATTACTAGTCTAAACCTGGAAATTCCTACCCATACTGTACAGGGTGTCCATAAAAGAATGCAACAGTTTCAAAAATTAATAACTCGATAAGTAATGGATGAAATGCAGTGATCTTTGAATCGAAATGAAGGGGAAGACAGGAAGTTTATTCATATCCCGTTATAGATGTCGCTGACAGCTCGAAATGCGCGCGCAAGGGAATTTCCTAATTGGTGCCTATTTTGGCGCGCGCCTCACCCCCATCAGTACAATGGCCACCGTTCAGTAGAAGGCTCAATGCGTGCTTTGGTATGCGGGGACTAAGTCATTCATTACAGTACAGCATAATTTTCAGCGGAAAACACGATCGCCGGGGATAATTGGCTTGATTTGTTAGAACAGTTTGTCTTCCCCCAAGTCGATGACATCGAACAAGAAACTCGAAGTGCCATCGTTTTCCAACAAGATGGTGCCCCGCCCCACTTCTCCAGATGTGCACGGCACTCCCTGAAAGAGAGATATCCAAATCGGTGGATTGGACGAGGTGGACCAATCGCCTGGCCTCCAAGAAGTCCAGATTTAACTCCGCTGGATTTTTACTTGCGGGGATATGTGGAAAACATCGTCTATGCAAAAAAAAATCCGCGACCTGGACCATTTGCGAGAGAGAATCGTCGCAGCAACAGCAACCATCGCACCAGAAATGCTTGATAGGACATGGGGAGAGGTAGAGCGTCGCTTTGATGTCTGTCGAGCTGTGAATGGTGCTCACATCGAGACTAATTAAGGTTTGTAAATAAACTCCTAGTCTTCCTCTTCATTCTGATGGAAAAATTACGGCATTTCATCCATTATTTACTGAGCTATTAATTTTTGAAACTGTTGCGTTCTTTTATGGACACCCTGTATTCTTTTAGAATCTAGAATGGGTGGACATTTGAGACCATTAAAATGTTCCAATGCGGTCAGTTTTAGATGGCTTGGCCAATAACTGCGTGAAGCAGCGTTGACGTCCCAACATGTTGGCCACCCAACTAACAGTTTATTACATACCTGAAAGAGTATTCAAATATCACAACTGATCAGGCGTTCAATGTAGAAATGAGAAAATAGGAAAAGTCGCCTATTAGCAAGATTATTTGTCAGTAATGAAGTTTTCAGTGCGGGACGATGGCTCAGCACAAGCAATAAGAAAAGGCACCTTTTAAACAAGCCTTTCGAAGAATCATTGATAAGCCCTTCACAGGAAAGAGAGATCATCATACGCACACCGAGAAAGACGAGTTATTGCATTTCGTGATCAAACACGTCTCTAGAACTCCTGGAAACAGCCGGATGAACGAAATGTGTTGGATTTAAGCGGTGCTGGCCAAAAACTTGGAACCAACCATCGATGGGGTGATTATCCTTTTGCGTCCTATTTCGGAGGAGCCCTTTGCCCGTCAGTCAGTCAGTCACGATCGTCTATATATATTAGATAATGATCATTTGATTTCAAATCCCATACCACTGGACAGGGCTGCCCAGAGGGGAGGGGGGGGGGGGCAATTGGGGCAATCTGCCCCGGGCCCCATGAATCAAGGGGTCCCAAGGGGGGCCTCCAAAGGGCCTTAAGGGGAGTCCCAAGGGGTCACCAGTTTATTTTTGCCCTGGGCCCCTGGAAACCTCTAGGCGGCCCTGCCACTGGATCAAAGAATTCAGAAAGCCACAGAGAGAAAAGGACTTCTGTCACAGGCTGAGCCATGACATTTTTTCAGTGTAGTATAGTTCTTGTTCTCATACAGTTCTTGCAGGATACAATACAAATTTGATATCACAATTGACTTTACATTCTCTTGGTGACACCAAAATTTCTCATGGATGGTACCACACATTTTCATCAAATGATAACCCACTTTTACTGTATAAGCATATAGCTTCTTTTAAAAATAATTTATTGAAAATGAAATCAAGCATTGGTACAAGGATTTCGAATCACAATCACCTGACCCCAGAGGTACTCGGACATCCTACCTCAAGTGTTGAAACCAGTATACATTTCATGAAAGAAGGGATGATGAAGGAAATAGAACTAATCAGGAAAATCATCTCATGGCAAGACAGTCATTCAAAGCATACCCAAAGTCTTCCTGCAACTGTAGGTCAGCTCATACTTGCCATATGCATCCTGTATGGATCATGATGGTAACAAAAGAAAGCAAGACCTGTGATGATTTCATCATTACTTCTGGGGTTTGGAGGAGGAAATATTGGACCTCCTACTACTCTGTGGATTCATATCACATTGCCAAGACCAGAAATTTTCAGTTTCTCTTGCAAATAAGGCTGGCTCATATGAGGCACAAGGAACCATGCACGCAGCAGACAGACAGACAAGGAGAAAGCAAGAGAAACAAAAGAGGGATTCTCTCTTCTGTCACACACAAATCATAAGAGCAGTAAAGCTAATCAAACTATTAAAAAGGATAGAAACACCTCTGGAATGCATGAAATACAACCAGAGTCCATTTATGTGAGAAGAGAGCAGAAGGAAGATAAAGGGATGAAGACAACATTGGAGGAAAGATTATCAGCACCAGGAGAACACGGGCGTTTTGGACTGGAAACTCTGAGTAAAGCTGTTGCTCAACCCTCGGATACGGCTTGCTAGGCTTCCCTTTGCCCTGCAATGTATTCAGACTCATTCAGTTGAGTTTCCAACTATTTATACCATTTTACAGAATTCAAACTTACTTCTCCACATAAATGCATGGCATTTGGACCAGCTGGAGAGGACTTTTCCCTTCCTTTAGGGCATGTGTAAGGTTTAGAATTTGACCCCTCATCACAGACATCTGCTTCTCAAACGTTGCCATGTCAAATCCTCGATCCGTCTAGAGAAACAGCAGAAGGCTATAACTAATACCATGTTATTAGAGGCTTCCCTATCATAACACCCTGGACAATTTTAACAGGTTTTTGAAACATGCTACTTTTTTCCACAGAGGACTTCTTTTCACTGAAGATGGGACCAGTTTCAAACACTTCACTGAGCAAACGAGGTAAAATCACAAACAAATTTTTGACCGACATAAGTCATTTCTTATTTGGGTTTTGTTTACAAATCTGTAATTCAGTGGAAAGCTCCAAGTCCCTCATCCATTCCCCTCCCAGCCCAACAGCCACTGTAGGTACACATGCAATTAAAAAATTATCATGAGAAGTCTGTTTTTGGCAAGATCTTGAAAATAGAATTAACTCAGTCTGTATATTACCCACTTGTGTCCAGAAGCCAAATTTTCAAAATTATCAAGGGTTTCCCCAGGGAAACTCTTTTGGGCTATCATTGAACAAAAATGGGAACCATGTGACATACAGAAATAATTGGATTATAATACCTTTCCATTTGAGTCTCTTTTCTAGGAGACTCAAGAGCAAAACTAACCTTGAAAAGTTGAAAGAGGTCATCACACAGATCCTGCACAAAGTTCATGTCTTCAAGTTTCGGAAGCACCAGATCCCGTATGTGCTTTGAGAAAGGTATTTTTGCTTGAGGAACCCATGCCCAATGATATGGATATGCCCGCCAACTGTCAGGATGCTTGAAGGGAAACGCTAGACCATTGTCAATGGCAGCAATCTTGATGGCTGGTTTGTTTCCTGGCACCAATGCCTCCTCTGGTGAATCTTTGGCCTGCAGAAACAGGTCAAGTCCTTCATTTATTCCTCCAAGGATATTTTTCCAATAAATGACTGTAGGTATTAATAAATATCAGGTGCTAATTCAAATGATAGTAATTAGTTGGTATATTTTGACAGTAGAACATATGACATGTCATACCAGCAGTGTGTGCTACAATTTCCTTGGCAATAATTGAATAAATACTGGGTGTAGCAAAAGGATGGGATGCATTTCAAAATGAAATATACCTAGTCCTGCCATAAATACTGTTACAAGGTTTTTCTGCAATAACTCTGTTAATATAAACATATGCTGTATTCTCTAACAGCATTTATTTCCCTACTTAATTACAAACTGATTACAGAAACATTATTGTAAATGTCCACCCCTAGCCTTCACACATGACTTTAAATGATCAGGCCACTCATCGATCACAGTACGCACCACGTCCATTGAGATATTGCCTGCTGATTTTGCAAGGGTTCGCTTGAGACTTTCAATATTTGGATGTCTTCTATGGCAGGCCATCAGCTCCAACTCTGCCCACAGTTTGTAGTCCGGTGGGTTCACGTTGGGGCTCTCAGATGGCCAATGTGAGGTCTTGATGAACTCGGGGACATAGTTGGTTAGCCACACCTGCGTTGTCTTAGCATTGTGAGCAGGTGCAGAGTCTTGCTGGAAGATCCAGTTGCCCCCATTGAACATTGTTTGACTGAGAGGCTTCACTGTCTTCTCTAAGACGTCTTCCTGGTACACCTTGACAGATGTCTTCACTCCTTGCTCGCAAAAATGCAGCTTGGTGATGCCCTTGCGGCTCACCCCCCACCAAACCATGATGGAAGCAGGATGATGACCTCTCTCCACCTTATGGATGACTTCGGCAGCTTCCCGAGAGTCGTGGGCATACACTTGGTTATTTTGCCAGTTGAATTTTTCTTCAATTGTGAAGATTTTCTCATCGGTAAAGAGGATTTTGTGGTGTCTGTTTTGCACATACCTCTGCAGTAACACTTTCGATCGCGACCTGATTTCTTTCAGAGATGGAGTCAGCATGTGTCCTGTGCTTCTTCGGTAAGCACTCATCCTTAGGTCTGATTTAATCAGCAGAGACATGCTTCTAGTCGAGATGACCATTTCCCTGGCCGTCACTTTCTGCTTGCGGAGAGGATTTTGCCGAATCCTGTTGCTAACTGCTTTGATGACTCATGGTGATCTGGCAGTGCATGGACGTCCAGATTTGGGCGGCCTCGTACTCCCTGAGTATCATTGTTACGTTTGATATCTCAGCAAACAAACTGCCAACTGATTCCAAGTGGCTGCAATGTCTTGAAAATGGTTGCAGGTTTCTGACCCACTTTGTACAGGGCAATCACTGCTATGTGATTCTCTTTGTCACCCCACTCTGTGTTTACTGCACGTAACACAACAGCCAAAATGTTACCAAACAATACGGTGGATAATACACTGCAGGATTACAAGGTTACAATATTCTAGCTTCTTTTGCTAGAATGCTAGGAACATGTAAATCTTGTAACAGTATTTATGGCAGAACTAGGTATATTTCTGTAATGGATTTACATATTTACATATCTCAAAAAACATTTTTAAACTGCAAACTTGGGAGTTTTTAATGGATACTCTAGGTTTGAAAATGATGTCAAATGACCAACACTACAAGCAACACATTCTCATGCTCTTAACACTCATGTCACTTACAACCTTACTGAGAATGTTATCAGGAACAGCATAAATTTCAGTTCTTATGTTCTCTTCAAGTTCATCAATTGGGTGTGGTCTGTTCACAAACACTCGTTTCTTTCAGATAGTCCAACAAGATATAATCAGAGGTACTGAGATCAGGAGATCTAGGGACCCATCCCCCATCTCCAAATCTCAAATCAGTTTCCCTGGAAAATGCTGCTGCAAAAATGTCATGTCTCAACCACCATGATTATTTATTGTGGGGGTATTTGAAATAACAAGTGTTCGTGAATAGACCACACATAATTTATGAACTTAAAGAGAACATAAGAACTGAAATTCAGGCCATTCCCAGTAACACTCTCAGTAAGTTTGTGAACAACGAGTGTTAGAGCATGAGAATGTGTTGCCTGTGGTGGAGGTCATTTGACTGACATTATTCTCAAAACCTAATGTATCCATTAAAAATTCCCAAGTTTGCAGTTAACATTTTTGAAATATGTAAATATCTAAATCCATTACATAAATATATTTAATTTTGAAAAGTGTCCCATCCTTTTGCTACACCCTGTATATGTAAGGAATGATAGCAAAATCATTCAAGTATAATGTATAATTAAAAAATCACCCTACTGCATGCTTATGTAAAAACAAACTCCTCCTTCCTGACATGGCCCAAATCCAAAAACTATTAATACCTAGCAAACATTTTGGCTAGATATGCACCAACAAATGCATACAGCCTAAACCTTATCTGACACATCACTACTAGGAATGCAGATGTTCTCTGCACAGGAAAACTGACAAGCGATAAAAACCTGTCAAGAATGCCTTCCAGACATCCCACTCCATGCTGCATCACTGCAGTTATGGGATTCTTATATTGTGCCAGTTGAATAAATGAAGATAATTTGTGAAGCTCCTATGATTTAATGACTAAAGGGTGATAGATTTATGTCCTTTGCTTTCCCCTCAACCTCATGAGGTACCTTTGCAATGAGAAGGGTAATGGTAATCAAAGGGGGAAACTACCAGTATTGAGCAATTTCTTCATTACCATACAAAGCATACAAAGCAAACACCCTACATCCTGCTCCTTCCTCCTCTTCCCACAATACTACACCATAAGAAATTTCCTTAGAAATCTCTATTGTCTCCTGACGTATCAAAAACCACATTTTTAAGAATTGGCAGACACGTCAGTCTCCAACAAGACATAAGTTTCAGACCTGACTAGTCCCAATGACATATGCTCCATCTTTTACAATATGGATATAACAAAACCATATATATATATTTGTTGCCTCATATCTTTGACATAAATGTTTTTCGTTAAGGTCATATAAAACCCTGCCATATATGATCATATACTCATCATTTCAATAAGATATAATTATATATATTTTCCTATATATGTCTATGCATTGTATATGATGGACCATATATGTCACATATATACAGGGTATTGAAAAAAAAAATTGCCATACTTCTGAACTAAATATTTCTGCTCACACTGGAGCTATTTTCCTGAAACATTCACTTTGCACATATAAGTAGGTTCCCAACTGATTTACAAAGTGTCATCCAAATACACTGTGCCAAAGCAATGCTAAAAACGCTTTCAATAATTGTTTTGTTTTGGCACAACAAATTTACAGTAAATCTCAAGTTGCAGTTGAAAACATACTCATATAAGCAGTATAAGCTTTGCAAAAATAGTTCTGTTGTGAGTGCTGATATTTAGATTGAAAGCCTTTTAATTTTTTTTGCCATATACTGTAAATATGTCAATTCCAAATATAATTGTGCATGATTTTTCTTTATGGGTAGCACACTCTCCTCAGCTTAAACAGGCATGCTCAATGTCACCTTGTTCAGATTCTTGCAACACACTGCAGTTAGCTGAAACAGGAGCAGATAAAGGGTAGATGACATCTCCACTCAGCTTAAGATGTGACTTATAAGATGAGACCCCATTATATTGTGTGAAGGCATGTCCTGTATACTCCTGGTTCAGGTTCAAGTACCCCAGTTAACACTTCCATTCCAGAGGGGTGGTGACTGAGGTTATTTTGAGGTCTACCAAAAAATACATAAATTTGAAATACAAAATGATAGACTTGTTCTTTTTGGAAATTGAAGCATAATTCTCTATTTTATTGTGTTAAATTGTTTCAATATTAGAAAAATGTAAAAGGACGAACAATTACATCCACTGTTGCCCGATGGTAGTAAGGACTGGATGTACAGTTATGGCTGTCAGATTGAAAGTGTTAAAAAGATGCAGTAGGAAAGTTTGTTGCATAGCTATTTCTAGTTTTCAAATCAAGGCTTGCTGGGAAGATATTTGTATGCTTTAAGGAGTTAGCCTGTGGGGTCAAACTTACAGCTGTGAAGAGTACCTCAGTTCAACTAATGGGGATGCATTAACCCTTTTGCACTCAGTTGTTGAGCATGGTCTAGTATTGTCTGTAGTGTTACGAGAAAAATGGAGTGCAAAGGGTTAATAAGTAGCTGTGACCTTGATAGCTTTCTTTGACAGGAAAATTGAAATATGCAGCCAATACTTAATGAGTGTCCATCATAATTACTTAGGAGAATGTGCATCAGAACAAAAGAGATATCAAATCCAGAGAGGCACATGACCTTTTTCTCTCACTCTTCAGCATCATAGGTTAAATGAAGGACAATGAAAAAGAACATTTATCCTGTACCTTACATAGCCATATGCTGCACATTGTAAAGGAAACAATTAACATGTTGACCACCACAGTCATATTGGCCTGGTGACTTTCCTGGGTCAAAATAAATTTTTACATCCCTTGGAGAAAGTGAAACATGAGGTGCACTGGTGCACCCCATGGCAGTCAACCTGTTAAACAACACCAGAACCTCAATGTGTTAAGAGAGTGACTCCCCCCTCAAAAAAGTGATTAATACCCAAAATGCAAAATTCAAATTCAGGCATGATGGTGCTCCCTGCCATGAAGCTAAGTCTGTTGCAAAGAGGTTTCAACAAAAAAAAAACGGAAGTTTCAAAGTGGGTGGGAAACACCCTAACACAAAAATGATTAAAAAGATTGTGAGATATATTGAAAATAAAAATGGCAAAAGAATGTCTAACAAGCAAAAACCAAGCTCATAGTCTTTAATCCAGGTCTGGTCTCAATCCTGAAAACTCTGGCAAAGGGTGAAAAGCTTTAGCCAAAAAAAAAGGGGGAGGCCTAACTAAACAGCAACAGATCAAGAAAAGAAAAATGCTCAATAAATAAAGTGATTTAGCAATGTTACTTAGTTTTTATATGGAGCAGACAACTGATTTTTAAATGGAAAATATTACTAGAATGTTCAATGCTACCAGTACTAGCACAGTACTTGAGTCCTTCAAAAGGCATAGCCCCAAAATAAATCTATCTTTACCATAATTGTGAATATCACTTTGTAAGTTTTCCTTTAGGTTCTTCCTAGTGATTTAAATATAAAGTATTTTACAGGAACTTCAATAATAGGTTTGTATACAAGATCTACAAAAAGCAGTGATGCTCCATTTGTCTTAACAAAATATACAGGCTATCATTTAATCTCTCCAACCTCTAAGGCTCTAATTTTGCAAATGCCATCAGCTTTAACACTTTGAGCGCTGCAGCCATCGTATGATGTCCTACGCCCATAGTGCATTCAAATTGACAGGGCTCAAAAGTGGTAAAACATTCCAAAAAAAGGGGGTAAAACATGCCATGGACAGGATAGATTTTTCCATCTTCCCTCAATCACCCAGTCAAGACTCCTGCAATAGTCTCCATATATTGTGTATTGAATTGAAGACAATGAGGGGTTTCCAACTGTATGGAATTTGCCATGAACCATGAGACACGAAGCAATAAATAGGAAAATGAAGGCTTCATCTGCAGAAGAAGCTTGAGGGAGCAATTTGGTGTTTGCTTTGTTTTTTTACAGGAAATTTGGTGTGATACGCCAATGCCTCTCATACAACTCAAGCATTTGCTCTTGGTGATGCTTCAAAACCAGCCAAGAATTTCCCAGATAATAGTGGGTTCCTAAAAATCCCATTAACCTCATCCCTGGAACAAGATATGCCTAGCTTGGCCTGACTGAAACATAAAGATTTCTTCCACTTTGAACTTTTCTTTCCTTTGATGATGGTCTCACCTCAGCCCCAGGAGAGATGTTAGATGCCAGCCCTGGAGTACCATCTGGGGTGAGAGATACAAGAGGTTTCTGGAGATCTGTGCCATCCGGGGGAGTTACTAGGCAAGTTTGCTTAGCAGATGTGTCACCCAGGGGATCATAACTGATAAGCCAATTATCATTGCCACGATCTGTGTTGCGGATCACATAATCTAGGACCACAAGTCTCTCAAACTGAAGCTGAAACTGAGTTTGAACCAATGGAGTGAGTGGATCAATTTCAAACTGGCGTAACCAGAAGTCAGCATCTCTGTAGTTCTCCACAAACAACTGGAATGAGCCTGCCTGCAAAGCACAAAAGATTTCACAGTCACAAATACCACTCACTGTCTATCTTTCTAGACAAAAACCTGGATTCTTCCAAATGAAGAGAAATTACCTGAAGCAAGGTAATGCATCTCATGAAAAATGAATTTTAAATTTATTATAAAATAGCAGGAGTATGGAACCACAATAGTAAACATAGCAGCAATTTGTCAAGAAGACTTCTCTAAACCTTGAGGCTATTAGAATTAGCTAAAACATTATGAAGGTTAAAGAGGGTCCCCTGGACAAATGGAAATTACTCTTCAAATGTTCAGTGAAGGTCAGTAAAGGTCTATAGGCTCATACTGAAGTTCTCACAGAAATTTGCAAGGTGGATCAGGTTTTCATTATCTGCATCACTCATTTGCCTATATTTATCTTCATGCTCCATTTATCTTCAATTAAAGTGTGGTAAAGTTTAAAAAGAGCAGGTCAAAAAACAGGTCTACTCCTTCTATTAAGCATAATTTAGTTCCACTTTATGGGTAATTTCATGGATCCTTCAAATGGTGTTTGTTCTGAAGAACTTATCAGTTTTGGTCTGAGTTCAGGTTTCAAGGCATTTCCCATGCATTAAGTTTTCTCAAAAAGTGTTTTTATTTATAGGCAGTTTGACTGCTCAGTTTGCACACCTTGTTCAGTTTGAAAATTTGTGAATCTTTTACAATATAAATTCATTTAAAATAAATAAGGACCAATAATTTTTACTTCCAGAATCACAACTATTTTCCTGCCATTCTCTGGGTACTGTCTACTTTAAATCTTATCACGTATCGACGTCACGCAATATACAGGGTGATCAATGCTATTCTTGAAATTTGGCACAACTATTGTGGAAGGATGGAAATTCTTTTCTTTTTACGGGCAAACAACATGTCAAAGTATCCTCTCCTTTGTGAAATTATGTGAGGAATCTGGACAGTGTATGTTCCCATAGAAAAAATTGTGCACAGTAAGGAAAAGGAGGGTGTCAGTGACTGGCATCTTAGGTCTAAAAAATTTGAAGAACTGAAAGTGTAATCCACATACCTTGGGTGGGAGACCAAGCCGATGGAAGTGGCGAGCCACTCTCGGGAAGCGTTCATGCATAATCTTTTTAGCACGAGACTTTTCACGGTCAATGCGCAGGTAATTGAATGTTTCACTGGCCAGGTGCACCACCTGAAATTTGATAACATTTCACAGGAGCAACACATTCAACAATTTTCGAAGATATTGGCATGGGGTATTTGTGGACTGATAAAAATTGGTATTAGGCCCATCTTACTTCAAGAAATGAAAGAACTCTTTTCACTTCTCATGTAAGAATTTCATACTTAGGGGACCTTTCTTAACCTCATCTCATAAATGTCCATGGGTAAATCCCCTAAAAAATTAAACACAATGAGATCCAAATATCTAATCTGATACATTTTCATCAAACAGTGGACAAAAAATATATATACCTACCATTTCTCATCAAAGGAAATTTTCACCACCTGTGCATCATTATAAAAACATGATATTCTCCTGCACCAAAAGGAAATGAAAAAGGCTCTATTTATTGTAATTCAGACTTATAGTAAAAGCATTACAGATTACAAACCCAGAAGCTATTATCTACTATGGTCTAAACCGATATGATAGAGAATACAATACTCACTTTGGTCTTGGGAACTACGTTCAGGTGCAGTTTCTGATCAATGAGACTGGCTCCTGCCTCAGACAAGTAGCCTTGATTGGGAACCAAGCACGAACGGCCAAAGCAACAGGGAAACACCAATTTGTGAAACCACTTGGTCCATTTTGGATTCAGTCTTCCATATGGTTCTTCATCCTTTGGTTTGAATACTGCTATCTTTTTCTGTGCAAGATGAATACCAGAGAAGTTTTCATTTCTACCCAATGAAGACTGAAATGCCAAAACATCAAAAGCAGAGAGAAATAAAATAGAATGCCCAGCTCTGAAAAATAAATAATGAGATTTTGGATGATATTTAATTTTAAATTGAAGATATTGAATAACTGGTTATCACTAAATCAGAAAATTCAAGACACTCAGGGCTCCAGGAATTACAACATTCTTGTTCTCATGCCCTCAGCTTAATCATACCAGTATATTTTACAAAATTTATTTGATCAATATAATCAATATGGATTGGCCAAAAATAACAGTATAGGTAAACTAAGGTATGGAAAAACTAATAATTTCTAGGGAAGCTGGAGAGTAAGATCAAACTGAGAAAACATTAAGACATGAACTCAGGTTCATGTCTATTCCTACATATTATTTTAAAATAACTTGAAAGTTATCTTAGCCTCTAGGTTTACAGTCCTATTATTGTCTCACCCCTTGAGGACTCTTGACAAAATAGCTTCCAGATGATCCCTGATATATTCTCTCAGGATAAATGCCCATTTCAATTGCTCTCTCAGCTTGTCTGACAACATCAGAATATGCTGGGTCATCTGAAACATAGACAACATGCAAGGAATAAAAATGCATGAATAAAAATATAAATGCCATATATTCACAGAGGGCCCTAGTTTCTTAAACTGATGGATGTCTACTTTGTGATTGAACATAACTAGAACCCTTTTCAGAGACCTGCTTCTGAAAACTAGCAAATCAGTCCTATTTACTCTGGAAGATGACATTGCATAAACTTTCTTGCAGAGCTAAGGCTACTGCTCACCTTCCTGTCATATAATTTGATTAAGTGCTGATAGTATACAGAGTTAGATCTAATGCATATCCTTTTTATTATTCCTATGATGAATATGGAGTAGTATGCCATACTATAAAATTTGAGCATGACATGCATTTACAGTTGGAAAACAGACTATGAACATCCTGGAGGGTTCAAAAATATAAGCATGACCCTTACTATAAAAACATGCTCCTGTTAACCAAAAATAAGAAAGAGGTAATCTGTTCTCATCCAAATGATCACAACGATAACCAATATCCTCAATTTGCAGTTTGGCCATGTCGCACTGTCTTGCCTTGCATAGAATGTTGTCCAATCTTGCCCTCTTACGATCAACCCCCCTTCATGGACATTTCTTTTTTTGCACATATTGCACTTCAAAATCAGATAAGGTGCCCCTAAATATACCGAGTAGAATCTCAGAAAATGCCCAAGAGTTGTGTTGAAAGCCATGCCAAAAGTAGTAACTGCAACACTCACACCAACATCATTCCATGATGCATTTTGCTTAGTTTCACATCTGGAAGGTAAAATCATAGATGTCTGTGTTTGTAAATGTCACTAGTCTATGAGTCAGCTTGGTGTCCACATAACTAATATGGTGCAAAGCAGGTGCCCACCAGACTGATCAAGCCCAAATCATTTTAGGACACTCTAAATGTCATGTGCTGTATGTGGATAACCAGATCTGTAGACCTCAGACCAACACATGATGACTCCATCACCACAATTAATTTGATTAAATGTACCCCAACAATATAATAGGCAATATGCAAGCATTGCTTCAAATCAATCTGCATGGCACATTGGTCCATTGAGTATTTCTATTGTGCTAAATCTGAAGAAGCATACACAGAATGACCTGAATCCCAACTATACCTTGCATGAAATATTTTATTTCAATTTAGTGTTTTCTGATGTCAGTTTGAAAATCGTTTTAAATGTTTATCTTTTGAAAATAGAGTATGGTTTGTCCTGAAACCACTATTTGCCTGGCTGCTTTTATTGTTCTACTTTATGAAGCATAGAACTGATATTCAAAATGTCAAAATATCTGGACTCAAGAGAATACATCTTCTCAGGAGTCTCATCATGCATGCTGATTATTAAATTAATAACACAAACTCACAAAAAGATATCCTGATTTCAATGCAATATTTGTAAAGACCATGCAAACTGCACAATGAAAAAACCCTTTCAAGTGGAGAGTTATGAAAAGCAAATGTAAAAAAAGGAGAGAATGGAGCAATAATTCCATGCTAAAATGATCAGCAGCAGAACTCAGGAGGCTGAGGCAAGTCTGTACTGCATATCAAACCTTCTGTTCTGCTGTAGGCCTAGGGACACATTCCATCTATAAGCTTTCAGAGAGAGATTTATTTCCAAGTACATACATGATCCTTTTCCATGTGACTTGACTTTTTCAGAGAATTTCTAGAGATCTTCCAGGATATTTGGGCACTTGTGCATGGAATGTATGCAATGCATGCATGTATGTCCAAGTCAAGAGAAAAACACTATGACCAAGCTAGGCCAAGTCCCAGTTACCTATGCCTGGACAGTAGACAATTGCCACATGATGGGTCCCATTCTGTTATCAATAAGGAGTTGATGGAGCATCATACGCAATGACACTGCTAATATAGTTACATTAGGATTGCCACTTTTGAATTTAAAAAAATATGGACAAATATTCAAAATATACCCACAGCCACTTCAAGTCAAGGCACCAATCGATACTATGAGTGGGGCCTACTGCTTTTGACTTACAAAAAATAACATTAGTTGCTATAAAGCTTGAAGTAAAGGAAAAAAATATTGAGTTTAAAATATGGACAAAACAGTGTCCATGTTATGGTCCTAATATGGACACTGTTTTGTCCATATTTTAAACTCGAGATTTTTACAGTATGGACATTGCCTCAACTGTCCATAATAATTATGAACAGGTGACAACCCTAAGTAACATCCATCATAGGCCATCGAGCCTAAGCCTTCTTTGTAAGCCTAAGCTCATGAGACCTCAAGTCAGTCTAACGCCTGTTGGGGCTTACGCCTATGGCAAAATCTCTGATCATGGAACCTACCTGGGAAGTAGTTGTCCACCATGTCCATTTCCATTTTTCTCAGTAATGGTTGATACTCTCGGGCAGATCGTCTGGGTGAACCCAGTAAAGTTGGAATGGTCCGCTGAGGAAAAGCCACGTCAGGTGCTATTTGGATATCTTCACTAGTAGCACTGGAGCTGCTGGACGAAGTTCCTCGTTCCCGTGATGGGCAGCTGACCGCACCCGTCCCAGAAACGCAAGATTGGTAACCAAGGTCACTGTTAGAAGTGCTCGTTCGAGTTGTTGCACTGGTTTTCACGGGGCTCGTCCGATTGTTATTGAGTTGAGAATGTTCGAAGGTGAGCACGGGGCCACCAGGCGGTTTCTGATTAGAACTCATGACGCATTGCCTTCTGTCCCCGCATCAGCGTCGACAGGTGCAGGCTGCTACGCGTGAACCCGCAGAATACTGTATTAACTGTCAAAAACGAGACAAACGTGATTGGTCGACTATCATATGGTGGTAGACTGATTCAATAGGATTACAGCATGCAGGCAAAATATCCCATCGTGTCGTTCCGACGACGTTACGCTCATTATCACTGACTTCGGACTGAATGCACCCCCCTGAAGCCCTATTCCATCGCAAAATCCATTTCAGGTCAAATCATCAATGCGACTCGAAATCATTAGATAAAGATAAGGTGCCTCTCAAGGCGTGGAATCATTAGATAACGATAAGATGCCTCTCAAGGCGTGGAAACCATGCGCTAACAGGGGGCAACCTTTATGAGTACTGCGTTCGTGAATATGAAACATTACGCAAGGCCTGGGTCAAAGTGCGATGTCGCATTTCTCGACGAGATAAGGCCATATCATACTAGGCGTGTTTGCGCGCTACGCGTCATAATGCATGGGTAGGCTAATAAAAGCACAAGGGCACATGCATGCCCGCACCCTTCCATGGGTTCTGATAGAGCGCGAGGCTTGCACATGAAGTCAGGATTAGTTAAATTCGGCACCTCTGCATGCAAGCAGCGGAAGAAGCATGGAAGAGGAAGATTGCCGACTGCGTCATAGAGTCATGTGACATGATAAGACGCACTCAAGACCGAAATAAGGTAAATACGCGGATAGAGAGCCGGTGGGCAGATAGTTTATGAGCAATCACATTTATTAAATATTTTCCTTAGTTTCCAAGTACAAGAGTGAGTCATTAATTTTTCTTTATTCGAACTTGTGCGTTCAATTAACAAGTGCAAAGACGCAGATAGGACGTACGGGACAATAAGCGTCATACTTGCGAATCCGTGCGATCATACATTTTCATGTTAGTGGGTGCGTTCGAAGCTTAGCATGCCAACACGCCAAAAGTGATATAGACGATAGCACATTCAGCCAATCACGACGGTACGCCAGCTCTCGAAATAACAGCAGAGAGATAAAGGCACTCCTCGAGATACAGTGGCGGAGTGTCATACGTTATTCCTTTGTGCTCTCTAATCGTTTACTTATAAAGAAGGGCTTCCAGCAAAGCAGCAGTTATTGGTAGCCGAAGTGTAACTGAGCATTTTTTTTAGGACTGCCACGACGGCTGTTTTTAAGGCGTCGATGTATTGCGGAAATTATTTAACATCTTCGAACGCCGTGGAGTGGGTGTGAGTATTACTAGCGATTCCGTCATCTCTTATTGAATGCGATCAAAGTCAGTGGCGACAAAGGGGGGACGACAGTTCCCTCATCTCTTGTCGGGTCAGTTGGGGAGAAAGAGGCCATTTTCAGTCGCTTTGGACAGGGAGGAAGGGGGTTGCTGAGCCAACCACCGATCCTTGCATCGATGCATCGTTGAATTGATTTCCTTAATTTTTCCCAAGGTAAAACATTTCTATTTCAATACGCAAGATATCCATAGTCCTCCAAGGGCAGGACTTTAAAATGAAAAAAAAACTAGGCTCCAATAAGAAATACTTCAGATCCTTGATAATGGCGCGGACAGCATTTCGAGTTTTCACCAAGTTCACACTTCTACGAAGGAGAAAAAACATAACATGGAGTAGTTCTCATATGAGCAATGAACTGCCCTCTCAATGAGCACTCAACGGGCAGAGTATCCACCGAGTATTCTGGAATCACCCAATATGCCAGAATTTATTTCTATTTGGAAATTATCTGGAAAATAGATTGACCTCTTGGATGCATTATTAAATTTTCTACATAATATTCAGCTTGTGGGCATAACAAGATACAAACAACATACAGTGACACTTTTCTGTTTCTAATCAGTAACTGCAGACTGGCCCTAATTTACCCTTCATCCCCTTCATCATGTTCAGGTCACTAACTTTTCCTGTGGATTGAACTTCTCAATGAAAGGAAACTCCATATCATGGACTCCAACCACGTGTCTACTCAGGAAATCTATAAAAGCACTCTACTGGGACATGATTTCAAATCATGCATCTTTAAATGCTGTTAAGAGGTCTGAATAGAAAATTTGATGGAATAATTCCCCCAAAGTGTGAATTAAAATATATTTAGGACTACCTGCTCATTTGCACAGGAGACAACACACCCACAACTTATCAATGTCACTCTGAGCCTGCTTTGAGGTGCCATGCCTTGTTGGAGACAAAAATTTTCAGCTCTAAGGGAATTAAAAACATTGATTGGGGACTGAAAATTTTCCCATGTACTGGCCAAGTCCACAAAAATTCTTGCTATCATGACCACTAAGAATAAGTTGCTGCCAATCCAGGCAGAGTATGTGATATATGAGACACATCAATACTGCACCATTTCAATATCCCATTTTATAAAAGCACTAGACAAGCTCCTTTCAATCTAAGGATTCAAACAAATGGCATGGGAAACAGAAAAGCCTACACTTTGATACATTTTCTATCAGCCAGAACTTATTTGAAATAAAATTGTGATACTTTGATGAACAATGGTACAGTTCCCTAGAAAAATAAACTTTTGGAGAATGTCATGACCTGGTCTTTGCACTTCTTCTTTACTCACTATGGCAATAAAAATTACTTTGCAACAAATTCCCAACAGAATTCAGAATCAGAATGGCATCAGCATCCAAGAAAGGAGTCTGAGGTGCTAGTTTGGAGTTGGGATGGAGGAGGCATTACAATAGACTCATTTTTAAATGCATCACCCTCCTATTCTACCTGAATCATCATTTGTACATTCACATAAGCAGTGTTCCTTCTTGCTAGGTTGATGAGGAGAGTTGAACACCCCTCTACCACCTGAGCATGTTTTCCTCCACCTCATGGAGCTTGATTGAACAGTTTTTATGGGTAAGTTTTTATCAAATGAGAATTTTCACATGCTCAAAATGAAATTTTCAATAGTAAACCAGTGACTGGTCAACCAGTCACTGCACATTAGGGGGCTGACATAACAGTGTCTGAAGAATTCATGCATTTTGCAAGGTTCTGAGTATATATTTTTTCTCAAGTTGTACCTTAACTCCAGGTCCCAGCTTTGACATATCACATACATAAGCATAGCATCTACAGAAAAGGATCAGGCCTACACAAATAACATACTTAGCTCAAATTGTTGATAGAATGACAATATTCAGCACATGGTTCAAGGTGTCAGTAGCAGCCCTTGAAAAATTTATATTGACAATGTCAGGCACATAATAGACAGGTTTTTTTTTTTTCAGTTCAGTACCTTCTCAACTGACTACAGCACCAATGAGAGCCATTCAGCAGTGCCAAACTCCTATGTCAGGAGTTGAGAAATCAAATAAAATGAACTGCAGGCCTCCATCTAGACCTATGGGCATGGCCAAAACGTAAAATGTCTCCGGACACAAAGCTCTGAATCAATTCTTTCTTTCTTTATCTGCTGCAGCCTACATCTTCCTTCGAGTTTTTAGTCCTAGGCCAAGGCTATATATACCTATCAACTTTATCCGATTTCCGTTGTTGTCTAGAAAATTGGAAAAGAGTAGTCCTATAATAAACTTGTTTCGGAAAGACTCGAATGTGGCGTCCGCTGCTTCTACGGCTAAAAAACATCAGCTGTTGCCTGATGTGTCTCACAGAGAAAGAAGAACATTTTATACACAAAGGAGGGCCACCACTTTCCTACGTTCAGGCATATGCCCAAGACATGCATCTGCCATCCTAGGGTGAGGGAGTAGCCAATGAAAGGGGCTTTTGGATTAAGTCAGCCAATAGGGATCCGATCTTCAGCTATGGCAGCGCACATGAAGTGGAATCAGGTGACATACCCAGATGACCATTGACGACTGTCCTTGAGTCACTCTCTGGATGCATTAGAACCGAGGCGTAGCACAACAAACTACGCCTCATTGTAGCTCTTGAGAGCTTTGCATGAGAGCCCTATTATAGGTTATTTTTTTTAATGGTTAAGTTCGATATTCTTGTGTGGAAAGTACCTAAAACTTAAGAGTAGGCGTACGCAGGTGCGGGATTCATATAAGTGTAGAGGAAAAAAACCGGGCCCGAGTTTTTACGCAATTGAGTTTATATTTTTAATGATAAAATTTGGTCAAGTTTTTCTGGCAGACGTAGGCCTAGTGGATTGCTTTGCATGCGTTACGTTAGGTCTTCTTAAGCTAGTCTAAAATAAATACCCTTACGCCGATATAAAGGCCATGAAATTTTTTGTTTGGAAATTTGCAGATCTAGACCTTGGTCCAAGATACCTTACAAAGACAAATGCTATGCTTTCAATGAGAAAATGCAGTTTGATTAGTCACCAAAGCTCCTAGGCGAGCACATTTAGTTCAGCATGACTTTATTAGACCTGAAGCAGAGATGTAGGCTTAGGCCCCAAGCATTAGGATGAAGCAAGTCATATTTTTAATCCCTAAAAAATAATAGTAGGATTTATAATAGAAAAAAAGGGGTAAGTCCTAGACCTCAATTTGCCTGATTGAGGAATAAAGATGATGATAATGATAGTGTAGGCAGGGATATGAGGAGAGAAAGGGAGAATGATCACTAGTACCTTGGTGTCCAATAGGATTTCAATGCTCGCCAAACTTGCAATCAGGTCACCATATTCACCACATGATACAAAATATGTGCAATATTAATCAAACGAATGGGTAATCTTTTGAAAGTAAGTTTGAGGTTGTAAACTGTCATTAATCAAGACTGATACACTGTAAAATGTGACAAGTGGCAAATGTATTGGACACCATGGCTCTAATGTAGGGTGACCAGATGTCCCTATTCTTTCAAGCTATATCCTGGTTTGGAAACTGTCCCAGTTTTTGAGGGATGCAAAGAGCCCAGTATAATGCACTAAAATTGACTGACATTTCTGGGAGAACACAAGGATACATAGCAGTCAGTAAATCTAATGGATTGAATTTTCCTTTCCATTCTGGTGTCCCAGGTTTTTGCTTTGCAAGGACTGACATTTGGGTATTTTCCAGAAAATATCCCATTTTTTCTGAATAATATCTGGTCACCCTACTCTAGCATAGCTTAGCCAGCAGAAATCACATCCATGAAATTTCAAATGGTATGAAAACTAAGCAACAATCAATAACTCTGAAATGACAACCTCATGATTCCCATGAAACCTATCCTACATAGACCCTATGGACATAGTCAATGTATCCACTAGTGTAAGGAGTTACAACCACTGCCTCTTTGAATCAACCACCCTTGAAGGCTGATGATGACCTTTGGCCTTTGAAGAATAAGCAATGGTATAAACTTACTTATTTTAAGCAAGAATCTCCCAATTCTGTCCATGTGAAAGAAAGAATGATCAACTTCCTATATGTACACCAGAAAGCATGGTTCCAATGTATAACTCCCAAATGTCTATTGTTACTTTTCATGAGTAGGGCTAAGCTGACTTTATGCACATGATAAAATAAGGAACCTAGGCCTCATGTTGGACTTGACTTTTCATCCATAGGCTTATAGGCCTAACTTTTAGGTCTTTGAGGCCTCCTGGAAAAGAGTGGAACTGAAGCTTGGTGAAATTGAAAAAGATGATCAACTACTTCAAGTGCTTGTGTTTGGATTATACCAGATTGATCCCTGAGAATTCATGAGCACCTGCATCAATCAATGACTGCTCATTCTAAAAACCCTGTTTTCCTAAGTGAATTAACTGACTTCTTGAGCATGTGCATGTGGTCCTCCTGACATTTCCATGCTCAAGGGGCTTCCTATCCCAGTGGTTGCCAATTTTCCAATCATGAAGCAGAAGTTAACACTCACTGTCCTTGGTGTATTATCCATTTTCATTTTTTATGGCATGCAATGCATTTTCTTCAGGCCTGATGCACATTTTCCATTTATTCTTGTTGGCTCCATAGGAATTGGCCAGGAGATTGCCACTGTAAGTACAAACAGTTTGAACTTGACACTTTCAATAGCTGAAGCAAAAAACTTATCATCTTCCAATCTTCTAATACATGATTTCAATATTACTCTTGAAGAACTAATCAAAGGTGATACTTTGACTGTATTTGTTACATTGGAGATGATAAATGGACCTCTCATTGGTCAGAATGTTTTCTTCTTGGAAACATCTGGTCATGAATATCTTCATCCCAGACAGATTTGCTCAATTGAAGCTGCTAGTCATGTATATCAAGACCTTCATGTACATTTATTTATGGTAACTCCAGTCTTGAAATTAACTCCTGCTGTAGCTGTGTTACTCACTCTGGAAAATGTAAAAATATATCATCTTGACTTGGGTCAGTATTTCTCTCATACTCCACTGGAAGGGTGGTACAATGCTGAAACTTGGAAATCTAGTCACTGGCCAGTTTCTCATATGAGTGATGCACTCCGCTTTACTACTTTGTTCAAATTTGGAGGCATTTACATGGACCTTGATGCTGTTGCCCTAAAAGCCTTAAGATGTGAAAACTGCATTGGTCGAGAAAGTGAAAACTGGGTGGCTGCAGGAGTCATGAAGTTTGAGTATGGACACCAATTCATCTCTGATTGTATAACTGAATTGAAAGATAACTTCAGAGGAGACATTTGGGGGTACAATGGTCCCCAGCTAGCTACTAGGGTGTTGGAGAAGTGGTGTGGGCATGATAAAATCATTGGAAAGAATGAAGGAAATGTGTGCAAGGACATTGAAATCCTTCCCACCAGTGCTTTCTATGTAGTGCCTTGGATAGATTGGGAATTGTTTTTCAATGAAGAGAGAAGTGAGGAAATAGTGGAGAAGTTAATTGAGAGCAGTTATGTGATGCATGTTTGGAATCACTTCAGTGCAAAAACACCAGTCCATTTATCAAGTAAAGAGCCATATGCCATTATTGCAAGCAGTCACTGCTCCTTGGTTGCTAATGTCTCACATCCTCTTTTGTAAATGTGAAGAGGAGATCCTCATGTGTGATAAGTATGCCGAATTATGGAGTTGAAGTTCTAATTTTTACATTTGAGAGCATGTGTCCAAAAGACTTCATTCCTGAATTTAAAAGGCAGAACTGCAATAGTCACTCATGTTTGTATCTGCATTTTTTATTTAGATCAAGTTCTCAATTCCCTGAAAAGGCTGCTATTTTATGGCATGCAGTAAATCTGCTAGGAAACCAAAATTAATTCTAGTATGCCAATCTGCATTTTGCACATGTTTCTGAACTGATTGGTGCCATTATTGCCAAGTATTTCTATTTCAAGGTGCCAAGTATTTCTATTTGTGAAGGTGATGCTTTCAATGTACCTCAAATTCTGTGATGATATCCATGTATTGGAACAGTCCTGCAAAAATGTTCAGTCACAGTTGGTGACAGATAATCTTATTCCATTGAATCAACTTAGAAATGTGACTGCTTCTGTCCAGCCTTCTGAAACCCAAAAATGTTCTGATTAAACTTAAAGTCTTATCTAAATATCCAGCCAAGTGTTCTCACACTCTTCTCTATTGATATTCACTAGTGTTCAATTAATCAACCATCAATGCAATATTATATATCTAGTTCTTCATTACATTCCCTGTTTTTTTTTATTAGAGGTTTTATTCCTGTTTCTATCAGCTAATGTAGAATCTCTTATATGAGTCTATAAATAGTGCCATTTCCAAGAGGATCACCTAACAGCATATTATGTTACATTGTAGTTCTAGCAAGTGTATATGAAAATGTTGTCCAAGTTACAGTGGATTGTCGTGAATCCTATTGCTTCAGCTGAGTCAGAAAGCTTTCCACTCTTGTGAGTAGCATACAAAGTTGCCTCAGCTTTTGTCTGTGATATATATATATTTTTGCTTTTTAAGTTATCCAGCAAGAGTGTAAGTACAGTGATAATTTGAATACTGTCCTGATTTAGTTCACTAATAAAGATTGTCATAAAAAGTTGCATGACTTTGCATCTGGGAAATTTTCACACTTGTGCATGAAAGTCTCTAAGAGATTCAGCATGAGCACTTTCTCCTGGCAAGCCTTGCAATTGCACAGCATATACAGGACGTACGAAAAGTCACTATTTTAAAAATGTAATGACTTTTGTAATTTTAGGACTAGATAAATGATTTTTGTGTCAAAAGAAACAGAATTCGATGGGGTTTTATAATTTAAATATTTTTTTGCCTGCAATAAACCATGCAACCATGGTGCCAAAATTAAATATTCGACACCATGCGCAAATGGCTGCAAAGTATGAGGTGTGGAGGCGTAGGAGGTAGGAAGTTGCTTCCAAGGCATTTTCCTTCCACCACCGCTTCTTGTCCATGGTGGAGGATCGCGGTAAGAGGTTTGGAGGCCCTTCGTCGAGGTGGTGGTGGAAGGAGAATGCTTTCGATGCAACTTTCCATCTTCTCCGCCTTCACACCTGCAGCTATTTCGGCACCATGGAGGGTTACTGCAAATATTAAAAAAGGAAATAATAAAATTCCATCGAATTCTGTTTCTTTTGACACAAAAAACATTGTTCTAGTCCAAAAATTACAAGTCATTACGATTTAAAATAGGCAGTGACTTTTCATACACCCTGTATATCTCGCTACTGTATGCAAACAAGAAATAAATTATTAAAAAAAAACTATGCATACCTACTACCACAAGTCCTGAACGCTTTACACCCTGGCACTACACTGAGTATTGAAACTACGCCTGCGATGGCGTCGATGTTATCCTCAACGGTGACTGAAGTGAACAGAATTCGGATCGTTCCATAATATCGGAGGGACTCGTGATTTTCACTTCACAAGCGAAGATAATCAACTTTAAAAAAGACATGGGGCAATAAGGTCAGATAATAGGTCTGGTCCCGCAGACGAACCTGAATAGAGAACCACGTTCTCCTTTTCCACAGGACACTGCAGTGCAACTGAACATATCGTCCTTATCGAAAAGTCAAGTTGCCCTTGAAGTAACCGGGGGGGAGAAGACACGAGCTTGTTTTAATAGGACAGTGATGGTGCAATGGGAGGAGGATCCAGCAGAATCATGCTATTGCACTCCTGCACAGATCCGTGACCTAGTCATTGACTTCGCGTGACTTTTTTTCTTCCGTCCGGACGTAGGTATTAGATGTGAAGATGGCTGGTTAATTAAAAGGGATGGCGGAAAGTGCAGAGCTGAAGGGAGAGACGACGTGTCTGGAATGGAAGAAGAAAGATTCAGACACCCGTGAGAAGAAAACGGCAGGCAAGGCAAAGGCAACGCCTTGGGAACAAGAAGAGGATAGGAAGGTGCGAGCACTGAAGGCCTTCATGGAATGGAAAGAAAAGAAAGATGCCGAGCTCAAACGGGAGACGGAAAAGAGAAAGCAGCTCCAGGAAGAGATCGAAAAGGAAAAACCAGAGCCGCAGCAAGTAGCAGCTTACTCGGAATGGAAAAAGAAGAAAGATGCGGAGGCACACGAGAAGCGAATGGCGGCCAAGGCAAGGGCAGCAGCCCGGGAACAAAAAGAGGAGGAGAAGAGAGCACAAGTGTTGAAGGCCTTCATGGCATGGAAGGAAAAGAAAGACACCGAGCTCCAACTGGAAATTGCGAAGAGGAGGAAGCTTAAGGAACAAAGGGAAAAGGAAATCTTGGAAGCACAGGCCAGAAAGTCGGAATGCATACAGGTAAGAGAAATGTCTACTTCTTTTCCCAGTAAATGTCACAGGGAGGAAGGTAAAAAAAAAAAAAATAATGGTAATAAATTGCTCATAGCTAATGACTCCATGTTCTCATAGAATCATCGCTTAATGTTCGGGGATATGCCTCCTACCTCTCCGGAGTCGCTGGATTTAAACGCTCTATGAACCCATACGCATACGTGCCACGGTTGCACCAAACACCGCAAAGCCGAGTCGACGGTGCACGCGTTGACACGGTTCAGTGGCCTCGAAGGATAAAAGTAGCTTCCGTCCGAAAAAGCGACTTTGACCTAAAGCCTGGGTGGCATGTACGCATGCCAAATCCTATGGGTTTTCTTCTTTTTTTCCAGGTCTGAGGAGGGTTAATGACAGCTTGGTTGTCCGCTTGGTGGAATTTTCATGTTGACACATTCAGCCCCGGTATGCTTAAAGCTGAAGGATCCCCACCGTCCGGCCATTTTGGTTGGAAACTAAGGTTTTGCAACAAAAAATCACAATACATTATTTGGTCTAAAGAAATAAAAATCACACCAAAGTGTTCAGTGAAGTCGGCACTTTCACCAGTAGTCCTTTCTTGCGTGGTATGCCTGAAAAAGAAGGGTGCCGAGACAAGATACGTGTGCCAGTCATGCCATGTGCCACTCCATGAAGGTGCTTTCAGTGGTCTGGCTGTGGCGATTGTTTAGCCTTAAATATACCGGGGCCGAATGTATTAAAAGTGACAAGCACATGGTCTCACGCCATCTATTGACGAAATTTTTTTAACTACGATGAACAGGCTTTGTAGAATGAGCAAAGGGGCGGGCACAAAAATGTTGAAATATGCCTGGTTTTACGCTCACTTCCAACCGGCACAACTGCCAAAAGTGAATTGCAACCACGATGTTTTCTGTTTCACGAATTAACTAGAGCAGCTCGAAGGTTATTCCTAATTACATCTGAGCAAAATATATCCTGTATACGAGGTGCAGGCGTCGGGGTGCGAAATCTCGTCTGCATTAACCCTAGAAGCGAGAACTGCCGATCAATCGACAGTTCACCCGTCACAGAGTTTAACCTTGCCGCTTCTAGGGTTAAAGATGAACGATGTAAAACACTAAAGCGCGGTAAATGAATGCCAACCGTCATTGAAGTTTTTGGAAAACTTACCCACTTCGAAAGCATGAGCACAAAAAAAAAATTTCGACGCGTCCTTCCCATTGCGGATTCATTCCATCTTGCAACTTTTCGGAACTGCGGGCGTCGAAGAAAAAAAAAACCAGGAGGGGAGTTTGTCCTTGAGATCCCACGAGCCAGCCAGATTCACGGTGGAATGAGATTGCGACTCTTTGAGTTGGCAAAGTGGTCAACACGGATGTAAGTGAGGCGATGCCATTGAAAAGGTCACGGCGGGAGGTCAGAATAGGGACCGTATTGATTATGTAACGACTGCAGTTACCGTTGCAGACAGTTGAAAAACATTTTCCTATAACTGCATGTTAATTTTTTAAATTAGCATCCAGGGAATAAAATACATAATTATATAATATCATATGATTAAGTTTAAAATTGTAATTAGTATGAGCCTCAGAACAGTCATCTTCCCTGCAAACTTGTCAAAAATCTGTTTCCGAGTAGAGTTGTTTTTTGCCCCTAGTCGTATCTCCACTGGAAGGCGAAGAAGGACGAAGAGCTGGCGAGGATGAAGAAGCGCGACAAAAAGAAAGCATTCGAGAGCAAAGTGAAGAAAGAGGAGGAGGAGAAGGAGAAGCGGGCCATAGCCCAGGCGGCGTGGAAGGCTTGGACGGGAAAACACGCGGAAAGGGAGAAGACGGCTCGCCTTCGTCAGAGGTATTTCCAGAGGCCTGATGCCCTTGAGCCCGCGAGTCACAAGCCTCGGCGTTATTACGAAATCGACCGCTCCGGGTCGGGTAGAGCCCCCATGGGAAATCAGTCGACGATGGGGGAAGAACGGACTCGATCATGCGGACCGGACGCGTGTCGGACGAGGCAAAGGCGGGCAAGTCATGTAACATAAACGTGCCATAATCACGGCGGCATTTATTCCGATGACTTCCTCAAATTAATCGAACACGCAGAATTAATAGCATCGACCACAGAACGTTCGCACGACCGAAAGAAAGCGAAGCCCGTCTGTGGATCATTCGGTGACGATGGGCCAGACCGTCTGGATTCTTCCTATCTGGTCTTCGATCTTGGGGCACGTCATGTAGGGTGGGTCGAAGAAAAAAAAGCATGGGAGATCTTTAACAGCTCATAGCCCAGTTTCTCGAGTGTTTGCTGAAATAGTAATCGCATCTCTCTGTGGAACATTTATTCAGCTTTACCCCGGTGTCAACAGATTTGAGATCCGTGCCATAGTTTGCATGGAGTTACGCGAAATTCATCAGAGGTTGCGCTTGGAACGGTGCCGTGCTGAGATGTCAGCTCGACAAACAGAGTATTGCTGCGAGCAACATGGCTCGAATAAGGAAAATGTATTTGCTGTTAAATGGGCTTTCGTGTTCAAAGGTGAAAAAGCTTGGTCAACTTTGGTGCGAAGGATCTGCAGCAGCGCCCGCCGTCACGCGTTAGGCAAGGAACCGTCACCTGATCAGGCCATCTCAGATTTGCCAAAAGATATTCGAGAAGCAGCTAAAGATTAGAACTTGGGTCTCCTAGAGTCTCCTGAATTCAAGTCTGTCGTGAGAGGTTTAAACACTGAATTAGCCATGTTTCACGTGTGAATATCCAGCATGACCTGCTGACGAATTATGCAGGGAACTCTTTGCGTCAGAAACTAATTAATCGAGCACTTTCTGAACCGTCATAGGAGAAATTTCCGGGCGTTCGAGAGCTTTTGAATAATGGCTTTTGCGATCAGGCGAGCGCCACTTGCTTCTTTCTCTTCTCTCTGGACACGTCTGCTGAGCTGTCTTCTGGGGCAAGACTTGCAAGAATTGAAGCCGAAAGCCCGTCGCCTGGGTCTGAGGTCTATACTCTAGACCTTGAAACTGCCTCCAAGCCGTGGATAACATTAAAAAAAAGATGGAAGCGAAGGCATGATGTCGCTTAACCACGTCTTTAAGGGTACGGCAAAGTACGCTTTCCAAGCGATACCTCTGATACAGCATGGAGACTACGACATGGATTGTAAATTTGTTGACACCAGCAGGAAGCTGCAAGATTTTTCAATAGATACTATTACAATTTAAGCAAACTCTCGAGAAAACTACACTGTGAAGTATGACAAGTCCATAAAAAAAAAAGTTTTTTTTTGGCCCACCTGTTCCACCTGTTGAGCTGTTTCACGGCGAGAGCCGATCGATGACTGTAGATTGAACGTCCACCGGGTCCCGTTCATCGTCCATAGATTTGATTCCGGGTTCAGGTAACCCAGGTTTAGCCACAGATTCTTCTTCTGACTCCGAAGGTTTCTTGTTACGACCGATGCAGGGATGGTTTCTTAGATCATAGATCGAGAGAGGGTGCGTCACTGGTGGTAAACAAAAAATATATATTTGAAGGTTCACAGGCCCTCTCCCATCCCGGGGGGGGGGGGGGGGGGGGGCCCCCCCCCCCCCCCCCCCCCNTAAACCCCCGCCCCCCCCCCCCCGGGGGGGGGGGGGGGGGGGACGCTTACCCTCCCCACACTCTTCTCCAATTTCGACTCCACTAGCGCTCTGTAGAGCTGGTGAGGGAGTGATGAAATCCCTTGGTAAAGTATGTATGTCAGCACTTTTTTTCACATCCGTTGGTACTGGTGAGACTATCGAAGAGACTATGTAAAAAAAAAACTAGGATCCTTCTGTTGGGGACGCTGGACACGCCCATTTAGCCTTGACGAGTACATCTTTATAGATTCATGGGCACGTCATTCGAAATCTCGAATGAAGTTGAGTACGAGGTTTGCTCTCTTCGGCTTTTAAAGGGGGGATGGGGGGGCTAAAGTTGGTGCATAAAACTGCGAGATGACGTGATACGTTTACAAGGAAAATTTGCGGGCGCCATTGAACTTGACTCTACATCAGTGCCGTTTGCAATGGCTTTCGAAATACTCACGCCAAATGCTGTACACTTTGGGCAAGTAATAATTTCTAAGTTAAGTTAAACTCGAAGGAAATTATGAACGCACTAATTTAATTGGAATTACGTTAAGTGACCATTGTGAATACGCCATGGTGGATAGAAACGGAGCCCAATCCATCCAGACCGGTAGGCTTGAGTACAAAAATGCTGGCTGGAATTGGGAATCACCTCGCTCGGGGGCATGACCATACATCAGCCGAATTTCTTCTTACGTTTTGTACATTCTCGTTTTCTCTGATTATTTTCTTTGGTAGATGCAAGAGGAGGAGACATGAAAGATGGGAGGCTCAGCGTCATGCCGAACGCCTTCAAATGGCTTTAGATGCCTTCGACTTGTGGCTCGAGGAAATCCAACTCCGAACTCAAATACTGAAGCTGGAACAGCTTGCCCAACCAGACGACCAGAGCATCAGTCTCTGATACACCATGGCCTTCTAATGGGAGTCACCTGTGATATTTATCCTTGCTTTCTTCACATTTTCTGAGCAGTGACAATGTACTTGCAATATTACCATTGATGAGAATGCATTAGGGAGGCACAAAAATCAGGGTCTACAATGGAAGCTGCAATGTGGGAATCCTTATGCAATTTCCTGGCACCCCAACTATCCTATACATTCCACACTGTGTTACTGATTACACTGTATGAAGTGTGTTCAGTCCTTTGAACATGAGAGAAGGGTAAGAATACATACATGAAGTACAAGAATAAATGCTATTCATTCAACATATATTCGTATGCTGCTTTGAAACTTCCTGAACTCAACAAAACTCAACTGAACTCTGCCAGTTCCAACGGAGAATCACTCCATTATTCCATTCAATACAAATTTCCTCATACATGAGTTTTCCAATGATCAGATTGTTGAACAGGAAAGCCACAGAAACAGTATCAAACACACTCTCATTTGTCACATTCATTATGACATTCCCACTGAGACCAATGCCTCATTGTCTGGTTTGAGGTTTATCAAGGCATTACTGCACTCTGCCAGTTCAGCAATTGAAACTCGTCCTCGTTGTCGGATGAATTTGGCCACAGCCTCCAGCTCTTCACGACTGACATAAATGAACTTCCCTCTGTCGTCAATCACACCTAAAAATGCAGAAAGTTAGTAACATATTAGAGGAATCAGTTATTTGAACTAGCATGCTATGATATATGCAAAACTGACCAGTGAGACTGCCTTCATTCTGGAGGTCATGTATTCTTGATATGACATCTTGGACCTTCAGACGAAACTGAGCAGCCAAATCTTCAAGTAAAACCACTTTGGAGGCCTGGAAAGAAAATTTAATCAATGCATTCTGGCTCTGAAATAAGAATGAATTCAAATAGACAAACTGAGTAGAAAATAACTTACCCTGATGTACTCCAAAAACCTTGCAAGTAGACTTTCTTCATTAGGGGAGGTGTTCTCTTCAAATCCCTCCTCTTCAACACTGAAGGCAGCCTTCATCTGTTCATATTCCTCTTGCTCTCTTTTCTCTTGCTCTTCCTTCCTCTTTCTCTCTTCTTCTTCCTTCTTTTTCTCTTCAGCTGCCTCTCTCTCTTCCTTAAGCTCTCTCTCTTTCTTAGCCTTCTCTTCTCTCTCACGGCGCTCTTCTCTTTCTTGTTCCATTGCCTACCACATAATTCATACATGGGAAGAATGGAATATGACAGAACCATTCAGAACGTGGAATCAATATTGCTCACTTCTCGTGCAGCCTTCTTCTCGGCCTTCATCTCCATCTTCTTGCGCTTTTTGGCCCCCATCTTGCCCTCAGGCATTTCAATATGATCTGAGGCATCCTGAACTTCTCCATCTGACTCATCACCAGACCCTCTCATCCCCCACCCAGCATTATCATCGTCATCGCCATCAGCAGCCTGCCGAAGCTCTGCTCTCCTCAAGCGGGCACGAGCATTTCGAACTGCTGCCCTTCGTGGCATATTTTCCCTTTCGTGGGTTCTGACCATGGCTTCAGCTCTCACTCCAGGACCTGGATCAGTTGCCTCTTGTTCCACTGCTGAAACCAGATCATTCTCAGTTAATGCAAGAGCCTTCCATAAAGGTTCAAATTATACCCTTTTACAGTATTTTAGGTTACTTGGGGATCATTAGATACCTGACAGGTTTTTACAGATCTCAGATGGTCATAATGACAAACAGAGATTTCTAATGGCCAAAGTGCTAGGGGGAATATACAGTGGTATACATAGTCTTTGTCCCCCCCCCCCCCTCTCTCTCTAAAGACCTCAGCTTGGAATAGCACAAGTTCACCAAAGCACATGCATGGTATGAGCCTATTGGAAATGCTCAAATATTTATAACAGGAACTTTCCAAATCAGACAACAGGGTCATTCCAACAGTACTCTGAATTGCTTAATTAAAAAAAAATGCATAGACAGTAAATCAAACTATCCCATGAAAAGACAAAATGCATTTCCATAATAGAGGTTTTCTGCAAAAATGAAGACTAGAAGTATTGCATTATAAAAATGAAAACTATGTCATATGAATTACAATGCAAATCATGAAATTACAGGAAGTCATTAGTGCATTAAGAAAATGCTAACAATATACATCCATATTGTGACAACTTATCACACAGGGAAAATATGCATGTCTTGACCTTCCATTTCTAATTCTGAGGATATTCCACCTTCCCATTAAAGATGATAAAAATCGAAGAAATAATGAAAATAAAAGTAAATAAGAAAAATAAATTTCCTGAGGCACTTTCTTTTCCTCTCCTGCCCCCCAAAACATTCCCACTTACCAATCCAGAAAACTCAAAACTTTCCTGTTTATTCACCTATGCAAGGCACAATAGCAAACCAAGCTGTTGCAACTTGGTCATGGCAAACAATCTTAAAGTGGTGAGGCAGGGATACAGTCACAACACACTGCCAGATCAGGGTGGTACAGTAATCCTTCAAGTCTTCCCCTGTACCAGTAATTCCTCTTAACAAAAAGAAAGGGTTTCTGAGTGTCCCTCAATATGTGCTAAATGCTCTATAACTTTTAAATGTTTGTTCAACTGTATCAGTTCACCTGAGCATAATAATAGACTAGAAATGTTCAGGGACATGCTCTGCATAACTGAAACAAGAAAGTGGCCTTAAATCCCCTGTGATCTATACATTAAAATCTCAAAATGTACACTGGTCACTGGCATGAATCATATAGACCAATGTGAAATCCTGGCAACTGTTCCATCAGCCATTATGACAGAAACAGTAATGGAACAGCTTTTCCATCACTTGTATTTCATTCTGTGACTGTCACCAGGCCAAATAGGAGATGACAGGCTTCTATACTCCTTACCCATTTGTGTCCTGCTCTTGAGGAATGTCAGGAAAAACAACAGAATAATAAGACATGATGAAACGATAAACCCAATGGTGACAGGATCCATCTGGGGAGGGAAAAAACCAACAGAAAACATTATAAAGGATCTAGGTTTGGATCTGACAAAAACTCATTAAAAGTTCAGCTGCAAAAATTGAGATGTAGCCTTCACATTGTCTCACACTTGCAATCCTGCCCTAAACTTTTTGCTGCAAATCAACGAATAAAATGATCTCATTGTTGAACTGACAAGAAATGGAAAATCTTAGGTTTCCCTGGAAAGAGAATGTAAAGTGAAGCTATATATTTATCACTGAACTGGAGAGTCCACTGCCAATTTTGTAGGATGAACAATTGTTATTTTTTTCATTGTAATGGTCAATTCATGTTTTTGAGGCTTTGGAGTGAATGGACTAAATAACTCAACATTGATGAAATCTTAGTAGGAGCCCCTTTTCAGGTGAGGCAAAGCATAAAGCAAGTGATTTAAAAAAAAAATTAAGTAGGTAGAACACCTTTTCAACCTGGAGCTTGCTCCCAGCATTGAACCACTGGACTCAAATCCATGGAGGATGAGTTGCATGATATGAGTGATACTGCAAATAGATTCCATTTTCTTCCTTGTTGAGTCATTAACATAAATGCATCAGTGGACTACAATGGATTAAATAAAATGCTAAGTAGAAAGGAAATGCTTTCCCCTACACTTCATGAATTTAAAGTCATACCATAGAAATCCAAAAAGATGCAGCATAGTAAGGCTTCAGGAGTTACAATATCTGCTCTCCTGTGATGAGAATCTTTCTGGAAATATGATATTTTGCAACATGAATGAAGAATTTTATTTGAACTCATAATTTCTTTCATTTAAGATGAATAAATGGTTCAGAAAAACTTATGTTCCCCCACAAATAAATAAATATTTTGTATTATGAGGATTGAATCCACATCACTGGATACACCAAGCAGAGGCAACACCTCTTGCACCCCTGCAGGTCATGGACACCAGTGGAAAACCCGGTTCTGAAATGAGCAAGTGTCTTTCAATCACCACAAGCATGAGCACATCCATAAAAATTTTCTTCCTCAATGTTCACAAGAACCACTTCATGGATCTAACAGACTTTTCATTATGTAAGTGCAATTTTCTATCCTCTCAGGATGCACAATAGATGATTTCCAATGGGATACCTGCACTTCAAGGCATATGGGACATCTCAATGAGATAGTGCCTGTATGCCTAATTGGGAGGAGAAAGCCAAGGTTCATTCTGTCATGCCAAGGCAGTTGCAGTTTGAAAACGAGAAGGGGGTAAACAGAGTGCATAGAATGTGACTAAAGAGCAAGAAGGAAGTTAATTTGCTATCACCCAGAACCCTAGATTCAATATCCAGAAACAATGTACAGGCTACAGGTACTTGCTGCAGTTCTACTGTATACTGATACCTGTACCAAAGAACACATTGAGAAGAAAGACAAAAAGAAAGGGGAAAAATAGATTGCAGCTTTCACCACAGTTGAGATGAACTAGCATGATCCTTCAAATTGGGTCCATAAAGTCAAGAAGAAATACAGCACAAACAGAGGAAACAGGAGGAGAGCTGAGATGAACAATCATTTCTTGGTCTTGCTGACAAATCCTGTTATGGGAGGAGGACCAACATCCCGTCTCTCAGGAGGAGCAGTAGGATCCATACCTACAGGTATGCTTGTTGCTGGGGCAATGGTGGGAATCTGATAGGGAGCAGGGCCAGGTGGTACAGAAGGAAACAAAGGAGTGCTAAAGGAGGTGGAAGGTTGAGGGAAAGTAGGAGGAGGTGCAGGGGGAGAAGGATGAAAATGAGAAGGGAGAGTAGGTGGAGGCACAGGGGGAGGAGGAAGAAAATGAGAAGGGAGGGTGGGTGGAGGAGGCTGGATGGAGGACATGGATTGAACTTGTAGTTCATGGTGAACATGGGTGTCTGCCTGAATCCCCTGGGATGCATACAATTCCTTCAGAATCAGAAGCATTGTATCTTCTGACTCCCTGTTAAAACACAGAGCCAGGATATCAGAGACCACTTCTTTCACTCTACAATAATCTTTAATGAGGGCAGGACTCACCAGTAACCAACATGAGCTCCAAGAGCAAAAAGGTATTCATTGAAGCTCTCAATGGGTTTCTCTTGGAGCACATAGTCTATACGCTTTCCTCCATTGATCTGTCCAATGAGACTGGTTGCTTGTGAGGCAGTTGTGGAGGTGTCACTGGTTTGTGAATGAGTGTCATCTTCTCCCTCTTGCTCTTCATGTTTCTTCAGTTCTTGTTGCAACACCTAAGATGGATATATTTACTGTGACAGGATTACCAGATGACTTTCAGTATGCATAAATAATTGTAGAACACCTAACCTTGTCCACCTCTGCCTCCAAAGACTCCTGCTCAGCAGCAGCACCACGATGAAATTGTGCAAAGTGGTAAATAGTATTCCAAGTGGATCGAACAGACTCCACAAATCGAGTCTTCAGGTCAGAACCAACTCGTGTCATTGCCTCCTTCAGTTCTGCAGTACAGGAAATGGGATTCTATTAATGGAAAATTGCTCAAAGAATTACCCAATGTTTAAGGGATTTGCTTCTTACCAAGGTGCATTCGCTTTCTTCCTTTGTGGTGAGGGATGAGGACAGGTCGCAAGGAAATTAGGCTTGGATCAAGCAGAGTTTCCAATCGATATGCCACAGGGTCATATGGATGGAAGATATTGTAGACATATTGGCATGTTGGCAAGCGAAAGTCTCGACCAAGATTTTCAAGTCCACGCACAGTGACAAACATTGCAATGGGGGAACCCAAGGCAAAAAAGCTTAATGGATGAAAGGCCAGGACAGGATAGTTGATGGAAGGCTGCCCTGTTCCGGCCAGACCAATTGTATATGAGACTGATGTTGTTGTGTTATTTGTGCTGCCTGGTTTTGGCTCATCATCCTCTTCTTTGGTCAAGGAACATGCAATTGTTTTCTGGGAGGTAACAAAACACAATATTAAGTCATGTAATCATAGACCCAATCAGTTGATTTCATTACATTGCTGTGGAATAAATAAATTTTAAAAAAGATAAATAATGAAATATGGTTGATAAGTTACTGCAAGGTTGGATACATTCACTCCCCTCTCCCTTTCCCTACAAGCTGCCAAAATGGTTGGCTGGATCAATTGAATTGTTATTATGTGAATTGATGTTTGATTTTTTAAATCTACTTGCAAAACATTAAGTCACAATTACTCATTAACTTTGTGAAACTATAAGTAATTACAAGTACAACCTAATTTTCCTGGAGTAAGAAAGCAATTTTTCAATGCAAATAAATTTAAGGGTCTCCAAATACTGTACCTTAATTACAGAATTCAGAGAAAGGCCTTCTTGAACAGCAACAGTAACTGATTTTCAAAACACTCAATTAGTGATTTTACAAGGAGTACTAGTTCTTCAGTGTTGGAAAACCTCCCAACTACAGCACTTGATGATTTTGGGAAGAAATCTAGGGTGCATATTAATACTCTCATTTGTATGACAGGAACTGTTATACATTTTACATATATCTGGAATGTTTCTGTTGCTAGGGGAACTTTTCCTTTCCTGAAGTTGCATGCTTTCTTTGACTTTGCATGTAAAAATAAGCTCCTTCTTCCATCATTTGTTTTGTGTTTGGTCCAGCACTGGCATAATTTTTAATCATGAAGGCCATCAACTCAGCAATGCAGGCTATTGCTCCACATAGGGAAGAGCAACTTTCAATTACTCACAAGTCACAGGCTGACAGATAATGTAAAAGTAAAATGAAACTCAATGAATTTTTCACAAGAGTAAAATTAAGTCAAGCTGCAAAGCATCATGTTGTGCAGGAGGTAGCCACTCAGTGCTTCTTCAATGGCCACTTGGTGAAGAGGCACTTCTAAGCATCTTAGCATGCATCATTATAAGTAATTTATCATTCAGTTATTCCTTGTTATGAATTTAGAAAGGTAAATGTAACCCGCCTGGCCATGTACTGCACATGGATTCATATAACCAATCCAAAACTCTCCATATGTGTAAACATTTTGCTAAACAGCTTACATTATTATTAAACAGTTACATGTCATCTTAGCTAAAGCATAAGTTTTCTTACTTCCTCCTCATTCCTGGAAGCCCTGATTTCGTTCAGTGCAGAAATAATCTTCTTTCTTGGTCCCATGGGCAAACCAAGCCTCTCAATCTCTTCCTCCTGACATAATAGCTGGAAAAATAACAGCAATGTATAAGAAATTTCCCTCGAGGTAACCAGTGATAGCATTTCTCAGAAAGCCCTGATCAAATTTTGTCATTTGCAATAATTACCAGGTATCAATAGTTTTACATGTTCTACAATTCAACAGCAAAACAAGTATTAAAAAAAAGAATTTAATGAACTGTGATCTTTCATATAGCATTGCAAAAATCAGGGTTGGTAAAAATCAGGTTTTTTTACCAAAAGGTTAATCTCATTTCCAGTTCCATTCCAATTTCCAGTTTTCAATTATTCCAGCAAGAGGATACTAGGCTTCTTTCAAGGTTTATTAAATGAGAAATTCCTCCAATACAGCAATCATCTTGTGTTATTGCAATAAGCCCATTGTAAGTGAGGCTGATGGATATTTTGAGCAGGAAAAGAAAAAGACAAGTGACAAATAACACACCTTATCAATCACACTTATAGCAAGAAAAAAACAAGACTATTTTATTCAGTAGGTGTGCAGATTCATAGTGGTTAACATTGGTTAAACTTCAAAGAATGAGCTTCACGCCTTTTACACAAGACTTGCCTAAGAGGTAAGTAGCTAGCATAAGAGTGCTCAGAATCAATGGAAAGACATACCAAAGCAGTGAGATCAAGCTTCTCTTCAGTAAAGACATCTATATAACTCATTAACTCTAAATGTTCCAGGAGTTCTTGGACTGAAGTGAATTGCTTCTCTTTGCTTGAGGCATCCTTCTCTTCAGACTTCTGATCTTTTGTATTTGTCATCACTTCTCCCTGCAAAAATGAAAACCTAATGCAAACCAAACACATTCCTACTTGAAAATAAAGTTAAAATGCATATAATGTTTCGATTGTTCAGGATGAGGAGTAGTAGCCGTGCAATTCCAGGTGCACATAAGGTTGAAATATACATATTGATATGAAAGATAAGAGAAATCCAACAAAGAAGAAAATTTTTACTTTTTTCATGAAGGACTTCTCAGGAGAGGGCTGGTGAAGCAGAAGGTCGAAGAGAATAAGGCTGCCCAATGAGTGACCAGCCAGTGAAACTTGACCAGTGAAGCCAGGGTTTCTCTCCATGAACAGGTGGTACATGCGGTTAATCTCTGAACCAACAGTATCCATGACTTGCTGAAATCACAGCAGAATCATAACTGTCATGATATGAGCATCACTCAAGAGAGCTCGTGTAAAGGAGGCACATTGAGTCCACACCCTCCCTCTCATGCTGGGATCTTATCTGATCAGGATCATAGGCAATTTAATAGTTGTACCAATTTGGCAAGCCACTGCATAGAGAAGAATGCACAGAATGAATTTAAATGCAGACAAATGGCCAGGTGACTGCTTTCCAGCTACATCCTTTGGTCAGTAATTGAAAAAAGGTTTTCAGTATGACCCAACATGGGATTGAAGAGTTCAAGATGGCCATTGCTTTTCATCAACTGGCAATTCTCTCCATCCTTTGAGTATGCATCTCACCTGACAATACACAGGACTTGTGTAGAAGAGAATGTCCAGCAGAGTATCATTGATAAGACTTCTCAGCTTTGGAATGCTGCGCAAGGTGATGGGCTGCAGCCGTCGATCAATGCCTATTCACAGAGAAAATATGATATTAAAAGAATCTTGTCCTGAATCATCAGAAGTGCATTATATCATACCCGTTGCATCTCCATGTAGAGAAGTATGCCATGAAATAGGGAGGAGTTCTAGTCTTCCAATAGAATCATCTTCAACAGCAGAATGAAAATGGGAATGAATCAACTGGATGGACAAGGACCGGAAGTCATCCACTGTAGGAGTTGAAAGGGGCAATTAAAGTAGGAAATATAATTCCCATTAGCAGAAGAATTACTGATTTTCCTTGAAAAAACGAGAGCAATTTAGGGAATTCTATACAAGAATATTGATCTCACACACAATCAAAACACCAACTGATGCAACCAGCAGCTCACAATAAGCTGCATGAATTAACAGTGGTTAAAGGAATTACCCGGTCTAAGTATACTTTTCGATCATGATCGAAATACCATAATAACTCAATTATGATAACTCGATCTGGGTCTAAGTATCGAACCTAAATATCATAACTCGATCATCATAACTTCGATGATAACTGATGTCACGCTGCCATAGGCCCCCATGTCGTCTGTTGTCAAAGATGGCTCCTTACCAAACTTCAATTATCCCATGTGTCTTTCACGTGGAATTCACTCCATTGTATATTTCTAATTTTACCACCTCGACTGTTTGGAGACATAGTGCAGCAGTTACCAACAGAGACCTCGCGACTTTCTTGCGAAAAAGGATTGGAAGATGGAGAGTTGTGATGGTCCTAGGCCTTGTGTAAGGCATTTTTACTCAATTGATGAAACGACAGCTGTTATTAGAATATGGGGTGACAAGCGTACCCAAGCATTGTTCGAATCGAAACTGGAAATGTGAGGAACAAAGCCATCTGGATATCTGATCTTTGGTTGTGATGGCCAGGAAAAGGACCAGAGATGACTGGATTTGTCGGTGGTAAAGTTAGATGTCGCTCTCAATTATTATATATGTCGCTCTCAATTACGATTTCGGTTCTATCAGTTATAGGGGTCCGGGAGGACAATTAAGTTATGATGATCGAGCTATCAGTTACTTGGGTCTAAGTATGGTTTTCGATCATGATCGAAAAGTATACTTAGACCGGGTAAATGGGGCTGATCTGGCATGCATGGGCATCAAACAAGAAAATTGAGGCAACAGGCTAACACATCTTGTTACCAGGAATGGCAATTTGATAATTTAAAAAAATTCTCTGCAAGGAACAATGCAAACAGAGAAGGAGACTTTAAAACCCATTCACTATTACACAACTCCATGCTGCCATTTGGGCTAAGTAAGCAGTTCAACTGATGGGAAAATCACAAAGACATGAAAAATGAGCAGGGGAGAGGACAAAAAATATCTCCTGGCCATCTACACACGATGTGTAGATGGCCAGGTAGTTCAAGAGTGTTCATGCTCAATCAGTGTCTGCTAACACCAATCTGATCTTTGGTCAGCAATGTGAGTATGACTCCTTGACGTTTGAAAGTCATAAGTAGTGTACTATGTCGTTCTGCAAGGTGAGCAACAAGAATAATGAAGATTTTACATGGCAGGATATTATATAGCAGTGGCAAAATGTGAGTGCATTCTAGAAGAATATGTTTTGCAAATATGAAATAAAACATTCCATTACATTTCCTTGAAGAACTAAATTACAATGCAATGGCATTTTCCCTAATGTCTGTTTTGACCACAACTTACAACTCATTTAAATTTGAAATACTTCAAATCTGTTTAGTAGCACATGAATATGCTGTCCAAGATCATCATGCTAGTCCTACCTACCCATGCCTGGAGACAAAGTTAATCTTTTCATCACTTTTGCCATCTTGCCAACCCTGAGGTCAAGAGTGGTAGGCATGGTGAGAGTTGGGAATCCTGATTCTGATAAAGACCATTAGTGTTTCAAGAAAAACTTTTCTGCACGTGACCAAGAGACTTGAAAAATTTTCTGTTGGTACAGCTGTTTTATCTACTAGTTTCACCTTGACAAAATTTCTCATACATTTTACATTTAAAAATTATTTTGCTTATTGCATAGTTTATTTATGCAGAGTTATGCCAAAAATGTTAATTAAATCTTAATGATCTCCAATGAACACAGATCCTGAAGAGGTAACCACCACATTACCAGCATTAGATGACTCTTGCTATAATAATTATTACTACACAAAAAAGTTGATACAAAGTCTACATAAACATAGAACGGTTCTACAATGTGCTCAAGTATCTCATGAAGACCAATTTTATCCAATACATTCAATGTTGTTTTCTTTTTCATATGCTGACAGAGACATCTTTTACTCTAATTTTTTTTCTCCTAGGTCTGCAGCTTCATGTTTCATGTTTCTGTAAAGGTGCATACCACTCCTACAACATATGATTCACAGGATAAATTAGCTGTCTACTGCTGAATGCATGCTATTGCATTTCCTGGTATGCAATTCTATCATTATTTTTATATACAACATTCAAAACTCTCTTACCTTTTGAACAGATATGCACATTTCTCATGCTAACTGAAACAATATTCTAGGCAGCTACACTATTTCCAGATTGAATTTGTACCATCCCCCTATAGTGGTGAATGAAGGAAACACACATTTCCAGAGGTTTCGCCTCAGCAGGCGATAGACAAAACCACCCATGTGTAAGATGTCACTACCTGCAATCAATGGAAGCGTTCCTATAGGAGGTACGAATTCAATCCAGAAACAGTGTATGTGCAAAAGATAAGAAGAGAATAGTACAGTCACGGCACATACCACATTCAGTGATGTTCCTTAAGCGGAAGTCACACACTGCTCCAATACCATGTACAAAGAACACTAAATGATCAATCTTTATGGGTTCACCATCCTCTATATTGAAGCCCTCAGCCCCTCTCTTGACAGTACAAGGGCGGCCCATCCCTTCCTACAGGTCAGAGAAATTAATTTAATTTCTATTAATAGCATAGGCTTATGTAACACTTTGAGGTCTATGCAGTAAGCCCATACCTGTGCACCCCCAAAATCTTCTGTTGGTGTCAAAGAGATTGGGAAGTGAACAATAGAGTTAGGTCCATGAATGACAATGCTCTCTCCACCAGGGAATTCCAGACGACGATGCCATGTTCCAGTCATCAAGGCTTTCCTGTACTCTTCCTGAAATTACAGCATTTCAATACCACAATTAAATTTTGCTACTATTCATCAACTCAAAACAACCACATAGGATTGAGAACTAAATACTGAATACACCATATACTGTCAGCTTATATGGCAATTCCATCCCTTGAGTTCAAGATGGAAAGACTTCATGGGCACCTGATTGCATGTCAAGGATTTTATTAAGATTGACAAACTAACCAAGTATAATGAAGCCTACCTCAAGTTTGTTAGCAAATCTCTCATCATACGGAGTATAGGTACTCTCCAGGGGCCCCTTGTAAAACCAAGTTGCCCTACGGACTGGCAGGGGATCTTCTGTCCAATAGGCTGCATGACGGGTGCGATTGAAAATGTTCACGTCATACCGTCCACCATCTGTGCACACTAAAGTGTCTGGTTCTGTGTCACCTGTGCATATATATGATGAAGAGGTTTCGCATCAGGATGCCATATATAAAAGAAATGAATCAAAATCACTCTCAGAAAGAGATGTTATATTCTGAAGATCATTCACTTAATATGTTCTGATTTACCTTTCACCAGAAAATGCACATGATACATAAATCTTCTTTAACTTTTTAGTATATCTATCTTAGCCAGCTTTCAAAATCAATTAACAGTAAATTTTTAATCCAGAAGCAGATATTATGTGTTTTATATTAAAGTTGTCAAGGGGTAATGGAAATGATTTTTGAACCCATTAAATGATAAACTAAACTGAACTGAACAAGGTAAATCAATCACAGAGGTGCGCCTCTTCTTGTGCTTCCCACCTGAGATTTTTCAGGGCAATCTGTACCAGTTCAGTTATATTCTTAAATAATAACATTAATGAAGGAACATATGTCTTCTTATAAGTAGAGCATACCATGGTGCACCAAAGGCAAAAAAGCACAGGAATGTGTAAAGAAAAAGAATCAAGCCACGAAAAAGTGATAGAGACCTCCTCCCTTACTTACCAGAACTACAGGCCTCTTCCAAGGCCATTGAATCCATGAGAGAAAATGGCAACCATGCAAGGTTCCCATCAACCATTTTGGAATAAAACCAATGGGGCTGCACTGGTGAGTATGAATCAGTTCCTCCATCTGCCTGTTTGGGGATTTCAGTTGATAATCAGGAAGGTACAAACATGAATGTAAATCTCACTAAAAGAAACTAAGCCAGCCAAAAACCTGGTGATACTACAAATGCATCTTACAGAAGCCAAAACTTACCTTGGATTTGATTTAAGAATTTCTGAGTTTTTCTTCCAGTATGAAGTTTGCATGCTTTCATAATCATATGCCAATTTCAGCAACATACTAATTGCCATTGAATGCTTGATAACAATTCATCCCAATCAGACTCTCTATTAAGCCTACTACAGTTGAGATACTGGCATTGGAACCTACCACAAATATTGAAAGGATGTCAACTACCACATAAAAGTCAAAATATTCATAAAGGTTCCTAGAAGAACCAGAAAAACACATTAAGTGGCATCACTTCCCCTGGCATCCTTTAATGCTCCAAACACTTAACATGAATGACAATAATGTACTAAGAATTGTTACAAATATGCCTATAATCAACAAAACCTTTCACAACATAACATTTTCATAACATTCATTCATCAGTTTAGTATTTAAGGACTGAATCACAAGATGATACTTCATAGATAGCACCAACATTATTTACAATTCCGAACCATGCTTTTTTTTTCAGATTCATGCATATGAATAAGCCTGTGCTCCTTATGTGTTAAGCACCTTTCTCCCTTCAAAAACTAGGAAATTCCCTTCCTTTGAAATAAGGATTCAAACACACTGGCAAGTCAGCAATGATAATTGGTTTTTCATGAGATAGTATAAATGGAGCCTGAAACTCACAAGATTTGGGAATGAAGGAGGAATCACAGTTGGGGACTGCATTGTTTCTGAGGAAGGAGTTGATGCCTGCATTATCACTTGTGAGGTTTCTGCACTTTTCCAATTAGGGACAATAGAAGTCAAGGCAGGGCTTTGTTTCACATTGGTTTGAAAAGCACTCCCAATACCATTTTTCAGCCCTTGAGTGGCAGCTCTTCCATCTAAAAAAAAGTAAAAAATGCAGCCTTTGTATGTATCTTGGGAAAGTCTGAGAGCATGACTATGATGAATTGGAAACCCGTCACTACATTATTTTTGGACTGACTTTCTCTTGTATGATGGCTATAAGACACATTTAATAACTGAGAATTCTTACAGTTTCTGCCATTCCACACAAAGCAATGATAGAGTGATCAGAGTGGAGTGGAGAACCTGAGCAGGACTATCAGGGTAACCACCAGAGATTTTTGCCACCTTCAAAGCTGCACATTCAAAAAAGACTCTCAAGCTAATCCTACTGATCCTGTGGTTATTTTCATCTAAATACTCATTTCTGCATTCTATTTCCATCTTGAGTTCATTCTGACCTTTTTTATGTTTCTGATTTGGGAATTCATACAACACAGCTATACTGTACCCAGAGATCAGTTTGTCTAAGTTAATAAAATCAGCCAACCAAACAAGCCAGAATAAGGCCTTTTTTTTTCAATGGTTCATGAAATGCAGTCATACAGAAGACTCAGGTTCTATCATCAGATTTATCACCATTTACAGTTGGCTTCAACCTTTGCTGCAAGGAAGTGTCATCCATCCTGGCAGTCACCATGGTAGAAGTCAGACTGTCCATAGAAGTCTGTGATGGTGTCATAGCAGAGAGCTCTCAGAGGAATCCTGACTTAAGATATGTGCCAACAATCTTCTATACAGTACAGCATTTATTTTCTCAACACATTTTTCACCATCCCATGCCTCAAGTTATACCTCTACTGTTACACCAGGCATAAGTAAGGACCACAAGCCCATAAATATTGACCCTGGCTAATTTTGAAGGATAGGGTTATGAGATCACTGGAATTCTTTGGCTTTTAGAAATGACAACTTCTGGGCTCTATTTTACATTTACTAGGTGTCCTTCAAGTAGCCCCAACACTAATGCCTATCAAGGCAAAGAAGGGACTTTTTTCTAAACTCTCCAAAGAAGAATAGTTCAATTTTGTAGGTATACTATGAAGCACTTCAAGTGCTTTTCCAAATGTTTCCAAATGAAAAAAAGAAGTAAGGCACAGGAGTACCACAATGGTATTACTTAGCATCTTACCATATGAGGGCTGGTAGATAGCTGGTGAAGGAGTGATGCCAGAGGGAGAGCTATGATTCCAGGAAGGAGAATTTACACTTTGTGTAGCAGATGGAGAATTGATAAGATTCAATGAAGGTGAAGCTCCAACAAAGGGCTGTGAAAACTGTCCAGTTTGTTGGTGACTGAGTCGGTAAGATGCAGAAGAAGGAAGAAAGGGAGGAGCAGAGTTGCTCCCAACAGAGGGGGGAGGAGTAACGTTTAGTGGATACCTGGGAGAAGGAGTAACATTAGGTCTAAAGGTAGGGAGAGGAGTAGTATTCTGTATAAAGGTAGGAGGAGGAGGAGTAATATTAGGTTTGAAAGAGGAAGGAGCAGGAGGAGTAATACTAGGTATGAAAGAGGAAGGTGCAGGAGGAGTAATACTAGGTATGAAAGAGGAAGGTGCAGGAGGAGTAATACTAGGTTTGAAAGGAGAAGGAGCAAGAGGAGTAACACTAGACTTGAAAGAGGAAGGAGAAGGAGTAGTATGTGCTACTGCTGGTTGATGCCAAGAAGCAGGCCCTGCAACTGTATGCTGAATAGGCTGAGGAGGGACTGGAGCTCCAAGTAGGCTTGCTGGATAAGGTGAGTTGCTTTGGTTCAGTTGACTGAAGGGGTCAACAGCCTCTGATATTGACACATTCTGAAAAAACTTGCTGGGGGAGTGGTCATTGATTTGTTTAGAGGAAAGACTTTGCAGTACATTATTCTCTGCTGACTTCCCATAATGTCTCTCTCCACCTGAAATCATTCAAAACAATCTTTCATCATTCACCATAAAATACACTGCTTTGGAAATGAAACCTAATCAGGTACAAATCACCAGGTGTGTTTTCCAATGAAGTCATTCTATAGTCAAACTAAAGATAAAAACAGTCACTGGAAGAAATGTTTTGCTGTGGATCTTGACCTCTGTTCCTTAACAACAAACACCTCCAGTTTCAGTCAAATGGATATCTATTAGTAATAAAAAATTATAAATTTATTGAAATGATAACTTAAAAAATATTGTATACTGCTATCTTGGAGCTACCAGCTGGTGAGCTGGTTACAATTATGTTCAATACATTATTGCAGTAACTCTCCAGGAGCTATGAGAAAAATGGGAATCTGCTCCTGGAATATGAATAAAAGCAGTTATAAATCATGCAATGCTTGCAGTTGACTGCATTAGAAACAGACCAACTTATAGTTTGTTCCCTCCCAAAAAAATGTAGTGGCAGCTCCAGGATAACAGGTCAAAAGGGGAGAAAGGTCATTAAATTCTTGTAAACCAACTTGGGATGTTTGAGTAATTTATGGCAGGGGGAAAACAGACATTCATGGTAGGACAGGGTTGTCATATATTCAGATCTTGCAGTTTCCTTACACATTAATTTGGATGCCTAAGAAGTCTCTTTTCTATTTTTAGATGCCTTTTAAACTGTATGCCATAGGACACAAAAAATTGCATTCAGATTCCAGGAGGATTATCAGTTTGACCATACAATATAAATAAAATATAAGGAATCATTGCAATGTAAGATTTAAGGAAATAAGGGAGGAGAAATGATTGTGAAGTATTGCAAGCAGGAATGCATGGAGATGATATAATGCACCACATGCTAGATAAGGAAGAGGTACAAGTGCATACAAAAACACATCAAAACTGACTGGTCACCTGAGCTCAACTTGACCCATATGACAACCATGACCTGTCATGCCATCTCCTTTGCCCATCTGATAAGGTCTCATTCGTGGCACCTTGTTTAATCCCCTTCCTCCACTGTTGGCTCCCTACTCCAACCTCATCCATCAATTCTTTTGTTAAGCAGCAAGTGCACTTTTTAACAGGGAATAAACTATACGTTTTTGGGTTTCCCCATTTAAAATAAAATATATCCAATCAACTGCCTCCTGAAAATGCTGGTAGATACTTCCAAATTTCACCCAAAAGTTGCAATTCATCATATTGCTTTGAATGAAACTTATGAGACATGCAAATCAATTGTTCTAAATGCAAAAATGGAACAGAAGTGCCAAGGCAAGAATAACAGACTGCCCCAGCTATTGAGAAACAATACTGCTTCCTTTTTGAATGGATAATGTAAAAAAAAAATTTTATTTAATGTCATGGGAAAATTTTATTTCTCAATGAAAATTAGCCTTCTCACTTTCTCTTAGCATATATGCAGGAAAAGGCAAAACTTTGCAGCAGATATCAGAACTTTGACCACAATCAACTTTTACTAGGAAATGGATTTTAAATCAACTCATGTATTGGTATCCTGATGGTCCTTGCAGGGTTTGCAATCCCCATTCTTTGCACTAGTGCCAGCTTTCCATATTTCATTATTGTCAACACAATTAAAATTGCACAGTTTAACCAAGGGCATTTTCATCCTAATTTTCACAGACTAAACTTCATCACAATAGTGCCCATAATTACACTCAGCATAATATGCCACTAAAATATATCATAATTGTATTGATAGGAAGTGCATCTGTTTGTGCACTTTACAGTCATTTGATGGAAGGAATGTGTAGGCCAACTCCTTTTGTCTAATAAGCCTAAGGTGTAATGGCATCGGCAACTAGTTTGAGCGTCATTGGGCTTTCCATTGGCCTGTGAGAAAAAAAGGAAAAAGACATTCATCCAATCCTGAATGAATAATATTCACTCTCTTCCCCTTGGGAGCAAGTCAAGGATTTGGACACATCAAAATTTGCCTTTTTGAAATAGAATGTGTCAATAATGCCAATCAGATGAAATGGCATAGGAAACTCATTCACATAACTGGAGGCCTTAAGTAGCATGCATACTTTGTGGCAGCTTGTCATGTGAATATTGGAGTGAATGCGTGAAAGACAGAAATTTGAAATTACCTCATTTCTTTGTCCTGCTCCATGCTAAGAGAAATTTATGAATCAGTTTTCATTTAAGAAAAAACAGAAAAAGCTACATCAGATGTAGAAACTATAGGCCTAAATGTGGTGCCACTTGCACAGCAATAGCACAAACTACAAGGTACCATCAGAAAAGCTTAAAAAAATTGCTAGTTGGCTAGTTTACTCTATCATAACTTTCTGCACGTGTGACCTTTTTCTCCCTTCAAAGGAAGGAGATAACAGGAGGGATCTAACATTCTGTATTGAAATAACCAGTTTCACCCATCATACATCTTAATGAGTTCAAATTGATATTTCCCATTCAAGACCATAATATCTTAATGAGCTGGGAAATGGTGCCTTTGCCATACATTCATTTTCCTAATTAAATTATTGGGCCCATCAACATTGCTTAGATTTTGGGTTCAGACCTGTAGATAAAACTGGAGGATGATGAATCGGTCGCTCAGAGAATTGGAATACGGATGTATGGGGCTCTGAAGGGCTGTTGATGTCGACAACTTCGAGGTCCTCCGCAATATCAGCTACCACTTTCTCTGCAGCGGATTCCAAAGGTTTCGGCCTGACACTGGATCTTACGGTCACTTGAGGCACTGCAGTATTTTTCTCTCCGGGTTTGGCAGGAGCGGCAGAAACAATTATGGACCTCGGTGAGGTCGTATCGAAAGCAAATCCACTGGCTGGTGGAGATAAAAGGAGAGAGCCTTTCCCAGTCGTCTTCCGTGTGGACTGACTGGGATCCGCCATAGTAGAGACATATAATAGTGACGTCAAGAACAGCTGCTTTCCTACAGTGAACAACCACGTGGCACTGGCATTCATCCGGACAGCCATAGGGGGGCAGACCCAGTTAGCGAATAAACTATGGAGAGGCGATTGAACTCTAGGTCAGTAATCACTGAAGAGCATTCTTCATGCTGGTCCCACTTTCCTCCCCCTCCCAGGTGTCATCTGATTATATTCATGCAAATCATATCGTCTTGTATTGCACGCATTAGCTGCAGGACAGCTCAAAACCCTGCATACTTGAATTTGATACATAGTGAATAGCTTGCTCCTGTTAGCTAATAACTATTGAGTCAGTTTGCGACTGTGGCGTGCCTAAGGGGGGGAGGGGTTGGGGGTCATAACCTCCCCCTTCGGATACATTTTACAGGTTCGATTCTCAAAAAAAAAAAAAAATTGGGGGGGGGGGGGGGGGCTGA